CACCTGGCCTGTGGGCGTCCTACACTACGTTTGCCGAGACGCGGTCTCCACTCAAGAACTCGTTTTCCCCAACGGTTATCGGTTCTGCGGCTAATATGGCCAGCCCACTGCCACTTCAACTTGCTGATCCGGTACGCTATGTCGGTGACCTTAGTTCTCTGCCGGATCACCTCATTTCTGATGCGATCCCTTAGAGAAACGCCGAGCATAGCCCTTTCCATAGCACGTTGAGCGACTTTGAACTTGTGGACCAGCCGTACCGTAAGTGTCCACGTTTCAGCTCCGTATGTCATGACGGGTAGGACGCACTCATTAAAGACTTTCGTCTTAAGGCACTGTGGGATCGACGATGAGAAGACTCGACGTAGCTTCCCAAACGCTGCCCAACCCAACCGAATTCTTCTGTTCACCTCGTCCTCGAAGTTGTTTCTACCTAACTGCAATGTCTGCCCGAGGTACACATAATTTTGAACAACTTCGAGAACGGCACCGTGTACCGCAATCGGTTCCGGTAGTACATGTTCGTTGAACATGACCTTGGTTTTATCCAAGTTCATCCGTAGGCCGATGCGTACAGAAGTGTCAGCTAAGTCATTCAGCACTTGCTGTAGGTCCTGCAACGTCTCTGCCATGATGACGATGTCATCTGCAAATCGCAAGTGAGAGATGTATTCGCCATTGATATTGATGCCACGCCCTTTCCAGTGCAGCGTCTTGAACATGTCCTCCATTGCATTTGTGAACAATTTCGGGGAAATAACGTCCCCTTGTCTCACTCCTCGATGCAATGGTACGGGCCTTGTTTGCTGATTCTGTACTTGGACGGACATGGTGGCGGCTTCGTAGAGACATCTCATCACTTTGATGTATCGCCAATCTACTTGGCAACGCTGCAGGGACTCCAGAACAGACCAGATCTCGATCGAGTCAAAGGCTTTCTCATAGTCCACGAATGCTAGACACAGGGGCTGATTATATTCTTCGGTCTTCTGTATAATCTGCCGCACTGTGTGGATGTGGTCTATGGTGCCATATCCGCTCCGAAACCCAGCTTGCTCCGGTGGTTGGAATTCGTCGAGTCTTCGCGCAAGACGGTTCGTGATGACTCTCGAAAACAGCTTGTAGACGTGGCTTAGAAGGGATATGGGTCGATAGTTCTTCAACCGTGTCTTGTCACCTTTTTTGAAGAACAAGACGACCACACTCCTACTCCACGCTTCTGGAGTTCTCCCTTCAAACAGGACAGCGTTGAAGAGCTTTTGGAGCTCTATTTAGTATCATTTTGTAGTATTTGAGTGTAGCTAGTAGACAAAATCTTTTAAAATGAAAAAAAATACCATATAATTATAAGGGTGTCTCATTAAGAGTGCACTTTTTAAATTAAGAATCATTTTTTTTCTTGCAAGTGACAACTCGAAAATTTGACAGCTGTCACCTATGTTTATTACGATTATTAAAGATGGAGCGCTTTTTAAAAAGGAACAATGTGTTATAATTGTGAAAATTCATTATAAAAATGGGGAAAGTTACGCTGAAAACGCTCGCAAACTTCGCCAAGTTTTCAGTCGAGAAAGTGCACCTAATGTGTCAACCATTCGAAGTGGTCAAAAAATTTGAAGAAACCGGGTCGATTTAAGATATTAATAATCCTTTGCGTCAACGTACCGGTTGGTGTCTTGAGAACATTTCTGCTGTAAACGGGTGTCGTTGAAAACCCGAAAACATCAATTCGGCATCGTTCTCAACAACTTCAAATTTTTCGAAATTTACTACAAGTCAATTCCTTGCTCAAGTCAGGATTTGCTATGAAATCAACACCTATTTTTAACCATTTAATGTCTAATATCAAATATAAATAAATATAATAATAAAAAAGCCGTGTGGTGTCGTGGGACACCCGATAGGAACGAAGTTGTGACGATCGAGTAAACCTGATTTGACACGATTTTAATTACAACGCCATTTATGAAAGCGGCTATTACCTACATATTAAAAACAATTAAAACAATTTATACATTGGTAAAATCTCCTTGCGAAATGATTTCCTATCTATTCGATAGATGGCGCTGAATGTCTGACAAGATGACATGAAAATAAAGAGCAAAAAGCCAACATCACGTGGTATTCCCAGGCGGTCACCCATCCAAGTACTAACCACGCCCGATGTTGCTTAACTTCGGTGATCGGACGAGAACCGGTGTATTCAACATGGTATGGACGTTGGCGAACGTTAAAGCAAATTTAATGTATGGTATCCACAGTTAGACGTCAATTTATATTAATAAAAAAGTGTCGTTCCAAATTTTCGTACGAATTTTTTCCGTCTAGCCCCCTTTCACAACGCGCGATAAGGAACTTCGTTCCAATAATAATAATATTTTATTTCTTCTCTCACACAGAAAATCATATCAATAAACTAGTAACAAAGTTATAGATTACTTTACAACAAGAAAATGCTAATCTGTGTGAGAGACTGGTATCCGTACTAGGTAAAAACCAGTATTACAGATGACCAGCCTCTCCTGGCTCTCGATAAGTAGATGCAGCAAGTGAGATATTTTGTACAAAGTGATTATACATGTGAGATGAAATAAATGAATGAATGAATGTGTATTCTCTAACCTGTAATATGACTAAAGATATCGGTGTATGGGTGTGTATAAGAAAATATATATAAATGAATGTAAGTGTAAATCTGTGCATGTTTTATGCTGCATGAGTAGGTGATTGTGTGTTGTGTGTGTGTGTGTGTGTGTATGTATATGAGAGTGCGAGTGTCTCAGTGTATAGTGCGTGTGTGAGTTTGTGTGTATGTGTGTGTGTATATGTGTGAGCAAACCCTATGACAGAGTTAGTTACCAAGTTCATCTTGGGATCAGAAACATAAGCCACCAAATCCAGTAGCAACAGTAAATACTGGATGAATGAGACGAATGAAATATATCATATAGGAACAAACAGCAAGCTTTCAGTTTCCTCATAGTTAAGAGATTTCAGCCAATTAGAGATGGTATGTTTGCATTGGTACTTAGTGGAAGAATAGATATGCATAATATAATATATATCCACTGCTGGACATAGGCCTCTCCTAATGATTTCCAGCGGGGACGGTTGATTGCGGCCTGCATCCAACGGTTTCCGGCAACATTTACCTTTGGGCAGGGCACATAGCAAGGAGAACTGACAAGGTTCTCCTATGGAGATCACGTACTGGAAAGCGCAGTGTGGGACGACCGCTTACCCGATGGATGTATTGCAAGAAATTATGTCACACCTCTAGCAAGCAAATTTGTTTAAGGAAATTGATTCATTATATACTGTTCCGTAAAATAATGAAATAAATAAAAGACATGGGACGTTTCATTTCACGCTGGTACAATCATATTTGAATACATTTTGATTCATCAAAAAGTTAAACGAAGCGTCAACACCATCACGATGGTTTATGGTAATTTAAATATACATCAATTTCAATCTGAACTCAATTAAATAAAACTCCCATGTTGACATATGATTTTGATAATGTGATATTATAAAAATGGAACAGTTTTTGTACTAAATAATTTCATACTGTTTCATAATTTGTATCAAATTTACGCTACTTTAAAATATTACATATTAAAGCAATAAAATTACGATTTGATTAATCATTATTTAATGAGTTACCAAATAGGGGTTACAGCTTTTACTTCTAGCTATCAAAATCGTTGTCAGAATTATTTTACTACAAAAACTAAGCCTTTTCAAGAACCAATATATTTCCATTGGTATCCTAATTTTGTATGTAACATACAAAATTAGGATACCAATTGAAATTTAGAATTTAAATAATATGTATACTACAGGTGCAGTGAAGCAAGTGCACTACAGGTGCAGTGAATGCAGTGATTATGTGTTTGTCATACGTTGACTCAAAAATAAGCAACCCTTAATTAAAAATCAATCTTATCAGAATTTTAGTCTCCATTCAACAAGATAATGAAAAGGTAAATTTATAAAACCGCTTGATTTGAGGGTTGATTCCGAAAAAAACAAATATTGTTTAGTAACTACCTTAATTATGCAATATGCATCGATAATAGGAACAGTGTGCATAATGCATTACAATTTAGTATTATGCATATTCATTTAAAATATTAATCGCTTTATTGTGTAAAAATATACTAAAATTTCATCATTGTTAAATGAACGTTCTGCGGTCATGCTAAACGCAGATATAATTTAAGTTATGAGACTGGATTAAATTGATTATAGTGTCAAACGATAACTTTGCAGACATATATTTTATAATGGCTTATCCCCGCAGTTTTGCCTGCGTTTTTAATGTTAGTTCTTCGTCCATGTATCATACAGAATTTGTGAGGAAAAAAAATCCTAAATAATTTCTTTAATTTTTGAGATCTTTGACAACTTGTCTGTTATTCGGGACGAAGACAAATCTAACACATCAAAGATTATAATTAATCGGCCCAGCCGTCCTTGAGTTATACATGGTGTAACTACCTCGACTTTGCTCCACGAGTATATATAAACTTTTGACTAAAATTATAATTTTATTTGATATTGAATCCAATGGTTAGGTAGTATTTATATTAAACTAAAAGTAAAAGTAAAATTAATCATAATTATAGGATATATGGTTTACGGATTAATATTGCATTAGTGAAAGTTAGACTATCAATGAACTCCCGTACCTCTGCGTTAGGACAAGTCATCACTAGGCTAGTGGTTAGAACGTGAGCTAAGCTAACTAATAATGATAGAAAATGGAAGTATCCAGAATGTTTAACAACCACTTAACTTATTAATCAGGTTAGGTATTAAAAAACCCAGTGAAACAAACAGACATTCAGATGTGCCACGCCATTCAAGCCATCGAACATTTTAATCAAAATTATTAATATTATATAATGTTATGCAGTATCAGCAAATTATCTGAATCTTTTGCAGCCATATTCGAAGTAACTGTGAATATGATATGAATATCATAATATTCTTACCACCATATTAGCTTCTGTAAACTGGAAAGGTGTTTCACAGTTATTATCATCGCTATCTCTATGGACCACCAATTCATCCGACGTCAATTTCGGGGTTGTATAAACTTTTCGAGCACAAACAACCTGTGAACAAAAGATGTTAACAAAGACTGTAACAATTCTAATGATCATTTTTTCATATATCATTGTTCACTATCACTACGAATGACGTCTTGCATTCTTAATTAAATGTATGCATACATACACGCGTGTATTTAGAAAGGCCGATGTAATTAAACATCTACGTTTTAAAAAAGCAAACCAATCATATTGTCACAACCGGGCACTTTGGTATTAAAAATGGGCGAATTGGGTATAAATTAAAAGTGAAAGACAAAGAGCAAGAAAATAGGGATGGATCAGGTAATCAGTTAAATTCGTAACTGTAGACAAATCAATTTATTTCACTTGATGCTATGTACAGTCAGCAATGTAAATCGTTGAATACAATGTGGTGCCAATATTTCCTAATGAATATTATTTACCATAATTTATTGATCAAGGTAAACAACAAAACTACTTGTCATTAAGTAGCTGAACCTAGTAACTCCATTTTTTGCTGAACATTATTTACGATGAAATTATTATTGTTATATAATCTTTCATATATACAAAAGTCGCTAAACATATCTAGTTTCCTGTATTTCCTTAAACCAAGACCCGTTTGCTTCAAAGCTCTCATTAGGTGAAGCGCAGCGCACCGCATTTTTCATTAACAAAACCATTTCCAAATAATTACAACAGTTCAGAATGTCAATCAAATATTATTTATACAATAATAAAGTTTATAATAACATTGACATCATTGCTAGACCGAGCGATAGAGGTAAGTGAGAATGCAAAATGTAAGGACCGAATTCCACCAATGGATTTGTGTTAAGAAAAGGTCGAAGATTAATAATGTAGATCTTGCCGGTAAATTTTTGGGTTCATTTTTACCTCTTCTACTCTTACACAGGCCTACAAACCTCAGACCCAGAAACCAGAGTATACTTCCTCGAAAGTACTCTGAATCCGAATCCGAGGTCCAAATTACTGATTTGAAAATTGCCATAATAAAAAAAAACAAAAAGACGTATGCGCATGTTTACCTTATGATGCTACTCCATTTTTGTCTTTGACATAAAAAATAGAAAACATTAACAACTAGAAATTAATGTAGGTAACAAGAAAAAGAACGATTCACGATAATACTTGTGTTCACATGCGATTGTTTAAATATCTTTTTTCTAAACAATAAGTGAATCGGGGCGTTGACGGTGGGTAAGGTTCCTAGGTGAAAAAAGAGATAATTTAAGGTAGAAAAAGAAAAAATAAAATTTTACTTCCTTTCAATTATTTCTTTTGTCTGTTCGCTACTCATAAGACAGATTATAATGATTGTAATGAATCGCTTATCTATATTATTGCAATAGTTCAAGAGAATAGACAATGAGGGTTTTCGATACTTTTTCAGCAACCAGAGGGCGCTTCGTATGCGTCAGGTCCAAACAGCTGTCAGATAGCACAGATTCTTACCGAACATATATTTTTTCAGTGAAATTCTATGAATTTGAAAGTGTTATTTAGTTTATTATGGATTACGGTCAGAGAAAGGTTGCCGAACTGAAGATTGAGCTCAAAATGAGAGGCGCAAAAGTCACTGATACTAAAGAACTCCTGTATTATTTGCACACATAGGCATTACACAACACTGTGGCATTTTAGAAAACAATATTCCTTTTGTAACGTTTTTAAGAATGAATAAACCAAAAAAAAATGATCGAAAAATACAAATCGTGTATGTGTTTTGACAGGTGGTTGGACCTGACGCTACAGTGCTGCCATCTCACGTGGAACATTTCAGAAAACCCTCATTCGAATCCATAATGCCTTACAACACACATATTGGAGAACATGAACGCCATAAAATTGTTTTATTAAAAGAACAAGGTTATACAATTACGGCAATTGCTTTAGATCTAGGAGTTTCGGTAAGTCTTGTGTTGTGATGTTTAGCGACTTATAGCATATTAATATTTAGGCTTAATGTAACATTAAGATGATAAATAACCTTTTCTGTACTCTACTCTGGCAGGTGATTTCTGGTCCGTTTTAGTGCTTAGATGTTTTGTAAATTAGTATCTGTTCATGGACTTTTGTTGCTGACCGTACATGGAACGATTACATTCCCAAGCTCACGGCCGGCCGTAAAAAAGAGTCAAACAATTTCGCAATGAAAAGGACTGTGTGAAAAGGGATGTTGAGTGATAGAGAAGAATGGAAGAAGAAAAATCATTGTACTGATCCAAATTACAACGGTAAGAATATGATAATATTTCGAAAATGGTAACAAGATTTTAAGTGAAAATTAAATTTGATTCGAGTATTACTAATGTGAAACAGATGCTATCATCTTATCAATAAGCTTTTGGAAAACAAAAAAGATGCTGAAACAAAAATATAAATCCATATAAATGTATGTCAAGCAATATAAAAGGTAAACAGATTACCCTGAACGTCGTGTATACGAAATTAGCTTCCTTTGACATTCCATGCATAGGAATTCAGATAAAGCGGAGAACTATTACCATTTCACGAATATCTACGTGATCGAATTAAAGTGCTTAGGCACTTAGGTACATCGTAAAAATAAAATACACAGATAAACTTACATTTGGAAGAATATTCTTGAGTTTTAACATTTTATTTGATATTAATATTTGATTATATTTGTCCTTTGAAAGAAAAGTACACCTACACAAATAAATTGACAAAACTTGAAAATATAACTATGGACTTCCTTTCTCTTCATTCTACTCATAGACAAAGGTAATGAATTCTTAGTTAGGCCGGTCAAGGAGGTTACATTTTTAGTGTTTTAATTTTCATCATATTGAGTATAAACTTGATTTTTTATTTTTTCCTTGTATTTTGTAATATTTTGGCTTGCTCACATCGGGGGTGTTTACTCATAAACAACAATAAATTAAAAATATCTATCACCATCTCTTCAACGATCATAAAAGAAATGAGTTTCTAACGCCTAAAGAAATTTTCTTGCATAGATTATCAATTCTTGATCAATATTTTTTTTTTCTTTTTTTTTTAGTTTTACTGATTACACCATAGATGATTACACCATTCTGCTCATTGCTGTTGTCGAGTGCGGTCGTGTGTGCGATATCTGCTCCTTACTGGTGCTTTATTGGTTGATTAGTGTAATTTTAATTCTCTGTCTGACTTTAAGTGAATAAACGTAAGGTTTACGCCTTTTGGGAGTGTCAAGAAAGAGACAAACTATTTCCTTGCGTCTACTTTGTAATATCACAGTGATCGCATCTAATAATTGGTGGGTTTTGATCCCCGGACGCGTGCGTGGGGTGAGTTGACGCCCGCGCCAGGCCAACACGACACTGCGCGTTATGTCGTAATAGAGGACAACATAAGAACTAGCGTCGGCTACGGCGTGCGGCTGCGACACAGTGCTACGCGCGTAAGTTACGCTACGGTGGACACCTTTCTTTGCTACGGATTGCGGTCGATCGACGTGTTGGTTATCGGCTACGAAACGAGTCCTTTATTCGACTCATACCACTAAGTGTTTAAAGGTAATCGTTTATTATCACTATGTCGATTGTAAAACATTCGCCTAAAAAAGGATTAAAACTCCCGTCTACGACAGCAGTAGAACAATCGCAGTCAGTCCCAAACATAACCCAAGCCATAAGTGACCCAGAACTTATCAATGTAACACGTTACAAACGACTTAGGACTGACGATTCCCACACCAGCTACCTAGATGATTTTAAGCTCGAAATCAAACAAATGCTGACAACTTGGAAGCGCGATTACGAAGACGCTTTTTCGAAGGCTTTGGCGGAACAAACATCATTAGTTGCAAAACTTGTTACTGAAGTTACTGAATTAAAGCAACAAAACCTAGACATTCAGAAGTCAAATAAAGAGATAGAAAAATCCATTACTACCATCAGTGAATTGTATGATGATATGAATAACAAGGTGAAGTTGCTGCAAAGTGAATGTAAAAATTACAAAAAATACACAGAAGTTTTAGAAAAGACTGTACGAGATCTTCAATACCAGTCACGCTCTTCAACGATCGAGATTCGTAATGTACCATTAAAACCAAACGAGTCGGCTGCTGATCTTACGAATATTATAACGAATATTGGGAGCACCGTTGATCTGCCAATATCGCCTACGGCAATCCGAGATGTTTATCGTGCCTCGGGAAATTCACCCAACAAAGCCATTATAGCCGAACTCACAAGTGTACAAATAAAGACAGAACTTATATCCCGAGTACGTAAATTTAATACTAAACATGAAAGTAATGACCATAAGCTTAATACACAACTCATAGGGCTCCCTGGCCAAAAGCATCCTGTGTATGTGGACGAACACTTGTGTTCCTCTGTGAAGAAACTATTTTATTTATGCAGGCAATTTGCAAAACAACATGATTACAAATTTTGTTGGTCATCTAATGGCAGAATCTTTTTACGGAAACAACCGGGAGATAAACAAATACTGATTAAATCCGAAACTACCCTCCAGGAGCTCCAAGACAGTAAATGACTACTACTACACTGCCAAGTCATAATCTACCATAACTACTGCGTCATTCCTTGTATAATGCATGATGAATATTTTTGCTTTATTAAGTACTTTATATTAAGTCAGATAACAAACACTAATCTACACACAAATACACATATACCTCTAAAATCTACAAACACACTAATAACACAATCTTACATTGCTAAACCTGATAATAAAAGTGACATTGCTATCAAACCGTCATATATACAAAAAAAGTACACGTCTGCTGCTATTAATCTACAAACTCAAACATCTATCCTACACACGCACAGACTTTCATTATATATCATAGACATTACTCACACACAGCCTGTTGAAATTAGTGATAAAATTTATAATAACCAGCTGACTCCTAAACGAATACCTATCCTACCCTCAGCAATGCCTCACAAATTGCGGATATACAACTTTACAAATGGCTACCTCAGTTTATAATATCTTGTCTGAATTAGACAATATAGATGTCGCGAAAGCTTACACGTGTGATCCAATCGAATGCAAGAAATTTGTTAGTAGTGTCGGCCCCTCTACGACTATTGTACATATTAACATACGCAGCATTAAAAAGAATTTTGACGAATTATTAACACTACTCACCTTGCTTGAAGTTGATTGCGACGTTGTCATTCTAACCGAATGCTGGCTTAGTAAAATCGCTGACCTACCAGTAATGGATGGATACAACTGTCACCCCACAAAAAAACCGAAAAACCAAAATGATGGGGTAGTAATTTATATAAAAAAACAATTACAGTACACAGTTGAGGAACCAGACTTTATCAATGGCAGTTCCCTTACTTGCAAAATTGGCAATAAACTAGCCATAATTGCCATTTATAGGTCTCCTTCGAGCTGTTCTAACCAAGGGTTCGATCTCTTTTTGAACACTCTGGATAATGTACTAAGCTCGGTTAGCAAGTACGATAATATATGTCTTATTGGTGATACTAATATAGACATAACACCTTCTAGTACAAATGAACGCTCTGCCAGCTATCTTACTCTTAATGCTACCCATGGTCTTCTTCCTGCACATTATTTCCCAACCAGATCAAATTCGTGTATAGATCATGTAATCCTTAAAACTATTAAAAAATCAACTGTGCTTGTCTTAGACTCACATATTACAGACCACCTCCCACTACTTGTTGCAGTCGAGACTGATAGGTGGGTCAAAGGAACGTTACCTGCTTTTAAAATTCCTAGCATAGACTATGATAAGGTCAAGTACGATATTGAGCACCATGACTTTAGTCACATCATGACTTCAGAGGATCCTACTAAAGCTACCATCGCTCTTGTTACTGCAATACAAAACATTGTAAGTGCAAACACAAGAGTTGTACATGTTAAAAAAAGAAATAGAAACCTAAAACCGTGGATTACCCCAGGTTTGTTAAGATGTTTACGCCACCGCGATAAACTACACAAAGAAGCTAGAATGTCACCTAATAACCCAATTATACTAACAACCTATAAAAGATATCGTAATTTCTGCAACAGTCTACTTAAAAAACTCAAAAACCTACATGATAAACACGAACTGGATAAAGCAAAATATAATACAAAGGCACTATGGAATAAAATCAAGCATATTACCAATACAAAAAAGACATGTGCACCCCCTACGGAACTGCTTGACAACAAATCTGATTTGAAAATAGCCATAAATAGTATTTGCAAATACTTTGCTACGATTGGCTCCGACTTAGCAGCAAAAATCCCCCCCCAAATGTCACAATTGCCTTTAAATAAAAGCAATCATAGTAGCTCCTTCGTAATTCTTGAAGTAGATGAGTCGGAAGTAGAGGCCACCATTATGAACCTTAGGCACGACAGTGCCACGGGCTGTGATGGCATACCGTCCTTGCTCTTAAGGGTATGTAAGAATACTCTTGTTCCCCTAATTACTCACATTATAAACACTTCAATAGCAAATGGAGTATTTCCGGAACCTTTTAAGAAAGCGCTCATTCATCCGATCCACAAGGGCGGGGACAGAGACTCCATCAACAACTATAGGCCTATTTCGGTACTTTCAGCCCTCTCTAAGGTAATGGAGAAGCTAATTAACGGAAGACTAGCTAACTACCTTAAGAAGTACAATATTATAGCTCCCAATCAATATGGATTTAAAAAAGGGGTTTCTACTCAAGATGCAGTCTTAGATCTAACAGAGCATGTAGCAAGAAAATTAGATGCAAAACAAAAATGCCTTGGTATTTTTATTGATCTGAAAAAAGCATTTGATACGGTCTCTGTCCCCACCCTTCTTATGAAACTGGAGTCAATAGGTATACGTGGAAAACCCCTAGACCTTTTTAAGGATTATCTTCAAAATAGAAAAATAGTTGTTAAAATAGGTTCATGTATAAGTGATGAAGAAACTGTTACGTATGGTGTTCCGCAGGGCAGTGTGATCGGGCCGACACTCTTTCAAATTTATATTAATGACCTATGTCTTCTGCCGTTGCGAAAGTCAAATATCTTTACTTATGCGGATGATACCGCGATTGTTATCTATGGTGATACGTGGACAGAGGTCAGAACCACTGCAGAGAAGTCCTTGCAAACTGTTGCACACTGGCTTTGCCTAAATCTGTTAACCCTGAATGTAAGTAAGACAAACTATATGCCTTTCTGTATTAACAATAGGAATAAAATTGCAACAGACTTTATAATAAGGGTTCATACATGCTCTGATCCTATCCACTGCTCGTGTGAGGCACTTACCTGTGTAAATCATATAAAGTATCTGGGTGTAGTGATTGATAGCGGATTGAAATGGTACGATCATATTGACAGTACCATTTTAAAAATTAGGAAACTTGTATATATTTTCAAATCTCTTAGATACTGCGCAGATATGGATACTATGAGAATGATATACCTAGCGATCTGCCAATCCGTTATCACTTACTGCATACCAGTGTGGGGTGGAGCCGCCAAAACCAAGTTCATTCAAATAGAGAGAGCACAAAGAGCGGTCCTGAAGGTAATACTTGGTAAACCATTTCGGTATCCGACTCATTTATTATATGCAGATAGCAAATTTCTCTCCGTCAGAAAACTATTTGTG